TTAAGTAGCCTCCCCAGTCTCCGGATCTAACTTTGGGATGAAGATGAGCTGACAAATCTGCAGAAATTATGTGATGCGATCATGTCAACATGGAGCAGAATTTCAAAGCAATGTTTCCAACATATTAATCAATGTCGTGAAGAATTGAGACTGTTTTTAGAGCAACGGGAGGCCCTATCCAGAATGAGTATGGTGTTGCTAATAAATTGCTCAGTGAGTGTAGGGTCCCCTGGATCATGTCCACCTTGGAGACTCTAGTTATTATTGCTTGAACTGCCGGTTTTAGTTCTTACCCAGGTTCTGATGATCTTTCTCCCTCGCCTCCCACACTTTGGTGTCGGTGTAAGCCGCTGAGAGCAACCATCTTCTAGCTGCAGAAAGACAAACACTGTCCATCAGGTCATAGGGATACATGTACCACACGTGGGCTAGTCGGCTGTTTACGAGATGTTAAACATTTTCAGAAACTTTAACGACAGCAGACAAGGTGTAAAGACCTCAGTTTTGCGTTGTGTTATGTGTCTACCTGAAAGAGACGGAGATAAACGGTTAACTTTGGCAGCTGCAGTCACACATCGCTTCAACACGGAGGTTGCCATCTTTGGACGATACCATTTCGTAGTCGGACTGGGGGAGTACCGGAAATTTCTGACGGTCCCTCAAACTGACGTAAGAGGGTCATACCAAGAGTGAGACTCGGTAAATTTGATGGAAATCATGAAACTTGATTACTTATTTATGTACATATAAAAAGTATTTTTCTAACCACCTTTACGTGGTGAAAGCGTGGGAAAAGCGCAAACCTAGGCCGAATCTACAATTGTTACTTTTAAATGCCTTTATTTACAACAAAGACCTATAAAATTCAATGGAGCCAGTGAAGTCCATCAGGCCTAAGTCTATTAAGGTCAAATCATTAAAGTTCAGATTCATGCACACGGATAAATTGACAAGTATTCTCAGCTTTTTGTTATTCTTCAGGGTGCATGCCATTATTATTGTAATGGTGAAAAGTTTTTGTTGGATTTGGATTTGGATTTTGGATGTGAAATTTTGAATGAATAACAAGTGATATAGAAAATATTCACTTCCAACCCACAAACCACAATGCATAATATCACATGAAATAAATCACATTTCACAGAAGCACCCTTTTATAAAACTCTGCATATTCACACGTAAGTCAGGTTTGTGAAAAATCATAGTCTATATTAAACCTTAATCTCCAACAAATCCTTACATGATGAATCTGATGTAAAATCTTTAAGGGTAATTCTTTATACTAAATCTTATATTCCTGTTTCTTCTTGGACAAAGTTGTTGTCAGATTGACTGGCATTAGTAAAACCCACACAAATGGATTGGCTAAATGGCAAAATGTATAAAAATAGTTAAAAAATTTAATTAAGGAAGAGAGCAGAAGACTTGAGCAGGACCAATGCTATTAGAATTGATAGTCAATTGTTTGTAAATTTTACATTATTACATTTTTCATTATTTATGGTTTATTATGACTTCACTTTTGCTCTATTTTCATTGTTATTCTTAGACACATTCTTTGTATGCATGCATACTTGGCTAACAAAAAACAGACAATAGAGGGTGCTGTTTATTAAAGGGGGAGACTGACTAGATAGATAGACAGAAGTGGAAGTGCAGGAGATTTACTTTGCCTGTGGCTCTGCATACAAAGCCATGAAAATTCCCAGTGTTAGTTACTCAGCATCATGGATGACTGCTTCTCTAAGCTTGTCTAGACATTAGATTTGTCCAGTCATGTTTAAAACATTACAAACAATACCTAAAACAGAATAAGGCAGGAATATGACAGTACAATAAATATATGGAGCTGAGCTGTTGCAAAGTTGAGTCTACATATGTATTTGTATGTGAATAGCAGGGCCGTTGACCGGTTCTGTCCTCTCTCACCTCTTCGTCAGTGAGCCAATGTTTTTGTTCTCTTTTCAGGAGGACAGCCCTCAACTATAATTACAGTAAGGTCCTTGGCTCTGGGTCAAAGGAGGTAACAGGTTCAGTCTGGGGTGGGGCAGTTTTGTTAAACAAAACATGGAAGAATCTTAGCACCATCTCCTTTTCTCAGTGACCAGCAAAACAGGAAGCCCTTACCTGAGCTGCACTAGAGAGAACTGACAGGAAGTAAACATTTCTAAACACACAGACTGGGGATACAGCTCTCTTTTCAGGCATAATATGCTATATTCTATTTTATTAGTTGGAATTTTTTGCTATCCTACCGTATTCTTTTGTTGATATTGTATGAAATGTTAATCTTGTAAGAGGCAACACTAAGTGTACACTTAATTTTCATCAAAAGGCCTATATCTCGAAGCTGCTCCCACACTATTCCCCTTATCTAAAAAGGTGAATGTGGTTCAGTGACGTGAAATATTAGTTTTCAGTCTCTCAGTTACGGGCATCTATTGTCTTCTTCCTTTTTTATTTGACCTCCATGGTGTTATACAGGACATTGGTGTCTGAATAGGTAAGTGAGACAGAGAGACATGTGACAGAAAAATTGCATGATGAGAAGTGTTTTTGGTGGGGTACTTCTTTCAGCAATAAGAGCAGGTGTATGGTGATGGCCTATGAATGTATGTGTTCATGCTTCTGTGTGACATATAGTGTCACCCAGTTAATTATTCTGTATATGAGCATCAGTAGTAGATGCTGATCAGCATTTTGAGTTTAAGTTTCATTTCTTAGCACAAATTAAAACCAAATAACATAGAAATTATGTGCAGGAGGCTGTAAAAAAGCCCAAAGAGCTTTGGAAGGAATGAAACAGGATGAGTGCCATCCTGTAATATACAACCTGACATCCCCTTGTTTAATGTAAAAATAATAAACAGTGCTATAACTCCTATTTGTTAACTGTAATTGTAGATCTTTTTAAAGAATCTTTAAGACTCTAAAACTGACAACACAGACTTTCTCTAGCATTATTCTGTAGAGGATCAGGTTAGTGTGGGTGTGTAACTGACAATTGTTTTCATTACCAATGAATCTGTCATGAAAAGTGAAGAAATTGTGTAAAATGTCCATCACAATTTCCCAGAACAGTCCCAAACTCAAAGATATTCCATTTGTAGTGATATGAAACAGAGCAAATCTTCATGGTTGAGTTGCTGAAGTCAACAAATTTGGGGGATTTTTGTTAAACAAATAACTGATATTGATCCCCTATCAAAATAGTTGTCAATTAATTTCCTGTCAATCGATTAATCGATAGATCAGCTAATCATTTCAGCACTAAGTCAGCTGATCTGGAAGGCTAAAGTATCTTTGACTTTGGTAAGAAAGAACATCTGTGAATGAAATGAATTATATCATTTACATCTAAAAGGTTATCAACTACCTCAGAAGATCTATACAGCCAAATTCGAATAAAATAAATCAATGAGAGGGATTAGAACATTTAAAAGATGAATACAATAAAATAAATGATTAACATAAAATAATTGATGCCCATAAAACATAAAGTGCAGTGCTACAAAACATAAATTTCAGCTGTTATCTGCTGCTGTTTAAAGCCAACCATAACATGATCTTAAATTATCAACATTCTATAACATGTGCTGCAGTCTCAAATAGGAAGATTTCCTCTTTCTCTCTGTGAACCACGGTGAACTGAATATCTTCGGGTTTTGGACAAACAAAAGAAGACATATGAATACATCACCTTGAACTCTGAGAAACTGATGGACATTTTCTGCTCTTTTCTGACAGTTAATAAAACTGAACCATTACTAAAGTAATTAAGAAAATAATCAGTAGATTAAATGATAATGGAGATAATCACTCATTGCAGCCTTACTGTACCCTGAAGCATTTTTTGCTTGTGAATCACAAAGTTTGGGTGGTGTGAGTAATCTCAGAGTGGTGCCTAAAAATCAGTGATTCATAAACTGTAATTTGTGCTTCTCCTCATGAAACATTATCTTGTCATTTCTTCATGGTCGTGATTAGTGCAGTAGTTTTCATTGCAAAGCAGAACAACAACTGTTTCTTACCACAGAGTTTGTCTTCCCATCACATCAGTTTACCTGTTCCACTGTGTGGATTCTCATGGTCTCTAAAGTTTCACTTCATTAAAACCACACAGGAGTGATAGAATCACCTTCTGAAACACCATCCCTCACTACTTCTCTGAGCTGTGATCTGTTATGCATTATCATTACATTTCACATTATTGTTATTCTTCAGCGATTGCACAACTTGATGCTGAGGAGACAGTGATGAGAAACGGTGCAGACTATCCACTCTCTTTGGTTCCTCTCTGAGCCAGCGGTTGGGATTGAAACGTGTAGGTGAGGAAAGGAAAGGAGAGGAGGATGTGAGAACTTCCTCAAACTGTTTGCAGTTTCGCTCTTTGGGACACGGTGGTCGTCACCGGTGGAAATGCAGAAGCTGCTGTTCTGCATTTCAGCTGACAAGAAATGACTCGTTGTTTACCTGAACTGTCACGGTAAAGTGAAGTATAATGAGATACCTTAGCCCAGTGAGCTCGATTTTATTAAACAGTAAATGATGCTGTAAATTACCTAACATAGTCACGTGATGCACTATATGATAATGTATCTTTTTTTTACTGCAAGAAAAACAGTTTTTGGCACTCTTTCATTCCAGTAGTATTTTTGTTTGCAATGGGGCTTCTGCAATGAGCAGAAACAATGCTTTATTCTGAGTCATAGAGGCATATGAAGCCTTTGTCTGGGACACCCACTGTGTCCGTCACTGCTGTTTGATCACAACCTAAAAGAGAGAAGGGGAGAGGTGTTTTCTCTTCCTCTTCCTCTGCTTTGAAAGAGAAGCAGGAGGAGAAAGGCAAGCTTTTTGAAACTCACAGCAATCATCTCTGGCTTGCAAAAGTATGTGTCAGACGACAGACGGTGAGGACTGAGAATTAATATCTGGGCTTATATTCTTTAAAGAAAAGAGTTACAGGGATGTTCTGAAAACACAAACAGCAGGTTCACGCATTCAAACTTTTATTTTTGATTTAGCAGAATCATATTCAGGTGACCACCATTACACTGCCATACAATAAAAACAAAACCATTACCCCAACAAATGAACAAACAAAGTCATATAGATTAAAAAGAATCTAAACATTAGACATAAGAATAAAACAAAATCACAGTTTATTTCATAAAAACACAACGTCAAGCTTTGTCATATTTGTATCTGTCAAAAACTACATTACTACACTCAGTAAATGTGATTTTTACTTTGAGCGCAATGTCCCACAAACAAACAAAAACAAGAAAGAAGACGGTTTTAGCAAAACTTAATTGTTGATTTTTATATCATATGAGTCAAAGTTAAAGCAAAATTGCATATTTGAGTTAACATTGCAAAATGATTTGTAAAAAACAAAAATATTAAATATCTCTTTGCATTTTATTTACAGAAAAGCTACATGCTAATCATACTCATAAGACCCTTAATGATCCACATTAACTTTCTGTCAGTGACTATTTGTCAATGTGTGACATGTTCTGTACATGCAGTATGCTTCACAGCTTTGTATTACAGTAACTTCATATTTATTTTTTGGTCTGTTAATAAACATGATATGTTCATCTTTCCTTTTTTGTGCTAAGCTACTATATGACATCCTCCATAATCAGTTTTATTTAGAGACCTACACACTTTCCTCTTTCCTTAGGGGAGTGTCTCCTGAACATCCTGTCCATTTTCCTGTCAAGAAAACATCAGCATACCCCAAAAGCCTGCATCTTCTCCTCATTCTTCCACTACTTTTTTCCTCATTCTTTGTCTTCTTCTTCATCCTGTGGACACGTAAATTCACTTGTGTGCGAGTGGCCCACTATTTCACCCGTCTCCGAACTGCTCTTGTTCCTCTCTGCCACATCGATAGCTGCCTCATAAAAGCCATCCAACTGTTTTTCGTTTTGCTCCGGCTCATCTAACTCTTCCAGCTCTGAATCAGAGTCATAATCATACAACTGTCTACGGCCTGTTTCATGGTGATACTCCTGCTCGCCTAGCTCTAAATCAGATTCATAGGATGTTTCTGACTGTGAGAGGTGCACCTGGGCACCTGTGGGATCTACAGATTGTCCTTCTGCCGCTGACTCCCTCTCAAATGTCTCATCATCTAAACTTTGCTGGTACGTCTGTTTCTGTTTCTCGCCTGGCCTTAGTTCATCAGGAGATCCCTGTCCTCTCTCCTCCAGCTCAGGGATGTACTGGTCCTCGCCTGCTGGCTCATGTTGGTCCACCTCAGGGCTGTACTGGCTCCTTCTGTATAAACTCTCCTCATCCTCCTCCTCCTGACATGAGCTCCCCGGTACGCTCTCGCCATCGGACTGGGAAAGACGGAGGCTGGGCATGCCCGGCGGTTTCTGGGAAAGATCAAATGGCTCCTCTTGGCTGAAGTGGGTCAGGAGGCCCATTTGAGTGGTCAGGCAGAATCGCCCCCTTTGCCTAAACACTGAAACCAGAGAAAAAAGTAATTACATCAAGCAACTTTTTCAACAGAAATGCAAATGTCATCGACTGCACGTGCAGATTTGAAGACCCTTACATCTTTCATCCAGCCCTCTGTCCATGACGCCGTGTTTGACCTTCATGTGTCTGGTGAGGTTTCCCTTCAGTGTGAACTTGCTCGGGCAGTAGAGGCATTTAAAGGGTTTGCTGTCTGAGTGGAGATGCATGTGGCCCATTAGATTATGCATCCTGTTGAACTCCTTTCCACAAAGCTGAAAGACAAGAGAGAAAAGTGTATGGCCAGATAAGTTGTTAACAGCCAAATAAGAAATATAACAAATTTTGCACAGCTTTTACAGAAATACAAGTATGTGCATAAATGGTTGGCATAAATTTTTTTGCAGCTTTTGCAAAAAGCAATTCAATTCCTCCACTTAAACGAATATTTCGACAGTTTTGGGAAATATGCTTATTTGCTTTCTCACCGAGTGTTAGAGGATCAATACCAGTCTCATGCATGTACATGAAATCTGAAGCGTAAGCCAACAGCCAGTTAGTGTAGCTTACCATCAAAATTCGAGAACCAGATAGCCTGTGCAAATGTAACAAGCTCCACCTACAGGCAATTCTGAAATATATATAGAATTTTAACTGTTGTAATTAGATGAGGTGGACCCAATTTTAAAATACTTTATATACTACAAGCAGATTAGTCTGTAAATAATAGTAACTGCAGCTGTCGTATTTGTAGTCAAGTGAGTAAAAATCCTCTGAAATGCAGTGGAGAACAACTAAAAAGTAACAGGAATTTGTAATACACAAAGTACAATTACCTCAAAATTGCATTTAATGTAAGTATAGCACTTGAGTAAATGTAATTAGTATATAGTTCCCTTCTACCACTGGCCGTAGTAAACACTATTTCAGGATACAAAAACAATAAGCCAACACCATCCACCTATTATTTTCTCAGAATGCAGAGCTACAGCAGAGGGACACGTAATCATGAATGAATGTGCAAGCATTCAGATATGCACAGACACACACCCTCCCTCGATCCTTGTTTTCCTCTTTTTCCTCTCTGTCTTCCCCCCTCTCTCTCACTCCCTGACACACACAAGAAAAACAGAAAGAGAGAGAGAGAGAGGAAGCAACATCGAGACAGGGCCAGGAGGAGAACAGGGAAGGGCAACTCCTGCGCTGTCCTTCCTCTGCATTCTTTTTTATTAGGGTGGTCCTTTCCTTCAGGAGGAGAGAGGGACTGTAAACTGTCCAAGAGGACCGTGAGAAAACAGGAAGCTCCCTCCAGCAGCAGAGAAAGCGAGATGAAATCTATTTGCGGGCCCTGTTCTCCGGGGAGGTTGGGGGGCCATTGTTAGAGAGGCGGTTTGTGCGGCGATATCCTTCCTATGGACAAGGAGGCTCCCACTGCCAAAAGCCTCTCTGCTATCTGGTCATCGTCTTAGTCGTCATACCAAACACCAAGGTCAAAACAGACGCTCCAGAAAAGTGGGGAAATCCTTTAATAGCAGCTACCACTAAATATTACAAGTCTGGTCCCTGGCTGTGATTATCAATAAATATGATTTGGTTATTGATAGAATATTGATGCCTTGATGCTTTCTTGCGAGAGGGAGATGAGAAGATCGATACGCCTCTCATGTGTGCACACTAAATGTGACGCCACAGTCATCAGCAGGTTAGCTTAGTTTAGCATGACACTTTTTGTATGGATTAAACAAATAGTTATTTAGGTTTTGGATTCTGTCACCTATGGACAGAGCAAGGCTATCTGTTTCCCCCTGTTTCAAGTCTTCGTGCTAAATTAAGCTTACTGGGTGCTAGCCATAGCTTCATAATTACTACACAAGTCGTGCAAATTGACAAAGTGACAAAACATATAAATATATATGTCTTTAGTACCTGCCATTTACAACAGGACAACAATACTCCAATATTCTTACAAATCATTCGTGAAAAGTAACACGGTTAGGTTTGGTTAGTTTTAGTTAGGCACTGAAACAAGGATTAGTAACAAGGATTAATAACAAGTTAAAGTTAGGGATCGATTGCGGTCATGGTTAGTAAAAGAAAAAGCGTGTGTTAAAGTTCAATGTTTTATTGATCCATCTATCCACTCCAATGTCCTCCCTCTGTGGACTTTGTTGCTCTATAATAGCATCGCCTGACCTTCTTTGGTCATACTTCTTATGGCCACTAGGAGGGCTTTGGGCTTTGGGTTCAAACATTTCTTTTTGGGGCATTTGTTAAAATTATCAATACTGTTGTTTTTCTTAGGAAAAATTAATTACAGCCACAGACAGTATTGATCTTCCCAAAATGTTGAACTGTTCCTTTAATCAGTGAACATAGGAGGAACTGGGGGCCAAAACACAACGCAAAGAGTCACATCTGACATGTTAAGTTCGACCAACCTTGCATTTATAGGGCTTGATGTCCGAGTGGACGATCATGTGAGCCTTGAGAGTCTGTTTTTGGACGAAACTCTTGAAGCACATGTGGCACTGGTAGGCCCGTATGTTGGTGTGGATGAGGACATGGCGCTTCATGTTGGCCAACAGGGTGAACTCACGACCACAGATGCGACACTTATGCTCTTTCACACCCTGAAGAACGAGAAAGTGGGGAAGTGGTGGTGTGAGAAACGTGGTCAACAGACGTCTGCTGCTTAAAATGCTGGTTTGTTTGACCTCTTAAATTCCACTGATCTTCATTTAAGATTTTATTCTAAATCGTATTGGAAAGTGTAAAACTTCGAGAGATATAAAATACGTCAGGCTGAATTTTGGGAAAATGTGTATAAAATTATGCATAATACAGTTCGAGTATTTCCATTTGATGCAATGGTGCATGAAAACGTTAAATCAGTTGCATCAGTTGGGACAAACTAATGCAGTATATGTACAAATAATATTGTCAAACTGTTGAATCAGGTGTTTTTTTCCAACCCTAAAGTTACTAAAGGGGAAATAAAACATGAAAACTGGATGTTAAATCGCATCAGGACCCAGAATTTGGGGGGGAAATTGCTTTGAGACAGCTGCCAAAACAACCTGTTGGGCTGGTGTCCAAACTCTCTGAGCCTCACTATCTAAAATGTGAACAAGTAATAATGGAAATGGCTTCATGTGACAGCATTTTAGCAATTTATAACTCTTTGATGCACTTTGATGCCAAAATCCATGCTTTTGCTTTCAATCCCTGTAAAAAAAAAAAAAAAAAAAAAAGCATAGAGAAAAATGTGGTGTCTTTTCTCTTCGTCCTCCTAATTAAACCTACTTTGTGAGTGAGCGTGTGCTGTTTCAGGTGGTGTGACTGGATGAACTCCATCCCACACTCACTGCAGATGTACGGTCTGATGTCTTTGTGTTTCATCATGTGGTTCTGAAGCTGACTCGGGTACTGGAAAGTCTTCTGGCACTCTGCACACCTGCAGGAACAACAGGTATAACCTCCTTACACAGCCGAACTGAAATGTTAAAGCAATAGTTTGAAATTTTGGGAAATGCGTTTATTCTCACCCAGAATTAGATGAAAAGATTGATACCACTGTCTTATCCGTCCCTTAAATATCAAGCTACAGCCACCAGCCTGTTGGATTAGCTTTGCACAAAGACTGAAAGCTGGTGGAAACAGTTAGCCTGGGTCTGTTCGAAAGTAACAAATCCACCCACCAGCTCCTCTAAAGCTCACTGATTAATACGTTTCATCTGTACAAAAACCAAAGTGTAACAACAGCAAATTGCAGTTTCACAGGGGTTATGTGCCAAGCTATTTCTTTTCCTGGAGCTGTAACTTCTTAAAGTTGCCTGCCCGACAACCTCACTGCGACGCTAAGACTTCAGGAAGTTACTGTTCATGACCAGGAAATAGTCCGGCACACGATAATCCTTGATCTAATGAATTGTATGAAAACAAAGTTAGAATTTAAGTTAGATTGTTGAATTGTTGTTTTTAATCTTCAGGTTTTTGTACAGATTAAACAAACAAGATATAAGATAACACGTTAATTGCTGTTTGGCAGATTTTGTAATCGCTGGATAGAGCCAGCTAGCTGTTTCCCCATTTCCAGTCTTCATGGTAAGCTAATAGCTTTAGAGTACAGACATGAGAGTGGTATCAATCTTGTCACAAGGGTATTTCGACTTTAACAGCACAATCATTAAGACATTTCAGCCAAGGGAAGAACCATTTTTGTGCTCACCTGTACAGGGTGGGGCCACGATGGGCGGTCAGGTGCCTCTTCAGCTGGGCCAGTGTGGGGAAGTCCAGACCACACTCCACACATACGTTTTCCTGGCCTTTTTCATGCTTCAGCTCGTGGGCACGAAGCTCACTGGGGTAAGCAAAACCTCGACCGCACACACTGCAGCTGGAGGGGCAGAAAAAGTATGTATGAGACGGAAACTTTGGATAAAAACAGGCAATAAAGAGCATAAAAACAACCTGCCACAATCATTCACCTGTATGGTTTCACATCACTGTGTTGCATCATGTGCCTCTTCAGGTGGCTGGTCTGGGTGAAGGCCTTGTGGCACACCTGGCACTTGTGGGGCCTCATGCCCTGATGGGTGAGCAGGTGTGTGTGCAGGTGACTCAGCTGCTTGAAAAGCTTCCCACACAGGTGGCATCCGTGTGGCTTGATGCCATTGTGGCCCAGGATGTGCGTGACCAGGTTGTACTTGGAAGTGTAGGACTTGTCACACATACGACACTTCCATCGTTTCTGGTCACCTCCAACATCAACATAATAGCTCTCATCTACATGGATGTTGAGCCCGAGCTTCTCAGCGCTGGCCGTCCCACTTCGAGGAGCTCCGTCACGGGTACGATGACTGGTTCGGAGGTCCTCTCTGGGGTAGAAAGCACCAGGGGAGAGGTGCATAACAGGCCCGGGCATGAAGAAGGGGTATGGGAGGAGGCTGTGGTGGAGAGGTGGAAAGTACGGAGGGTGAAGTAGTAGAGGAGAGGGAGGCCAAACAGGGGAAGGACTGAGAGGCTCCTGTTTCACCTGCACAGGTAGATTCATACCCGATGATCTGTGATGAAGCTGCAGTTTGTTGAGCTCGATCATACCAGGGAGGGGTTTTGGAGACAGGGAAGGAATGGGGCGTGGTGGTGGGAGGGAGAAAGGGATGTGGGAGAGGTCCACTGTCTTCTTACTGCTGCTTTCTTCTGCCTCCTCCGCTCCTCTGTCAGGAGATTCGCCTCCTTGGGCGTCCATTTTGAAAGGAGTTCTTTTGCGTTTTTGGGATCCCTCCTTTTGGGTGTAACCAGGGCCCAGCATGGGAAAGAAAGCAGGTGGGCTGAACACGCTGTAGGTGTCTCTGGTGGGCGATATGCTTCTGTATCTGGGAGGGGAGAATTTCGGGGGCTTGATATAAAATGGAGGTGGGCTCAGGTAGAAACTGTGCTGAGATGCCTGTCTTAGTTCATCCCTGAGAGGAGGACTTCTTCTTGGTGAGAAACTGACTCTGTCTGTTTCCATCTTCTTTCTGCGTTGGAAAGAGAACAAGAATGTTTTAAATGTGAAAAGTGTTCAAGTCTTTTACTTAAAGGGAAACGCCACCAAAGTCTGTTTACAAGTCTCAGGGAGTACTAGTCCTGCACATGGGGGAAGGAGAAGTTGTAGAAAGCTTTTTGCGGCTCCAGTGAGAGCAGCATGAAATGTGGTAAGTGATGTCAGGCAGCGTCTGCTGAAGATTGTTACTACATAGTTTGAAATCTGGGGTTGCATTGTGGGTAATGTAGGCACCAGGTTTTGAAACAGAGGAAGAGTGTGTTGAATAAAAAACTGAAAATGTCCACTTTGTGTGTTTGGAGTGAATCTTTGCTTTTTTTTGTGCAAAAACCTCTTCGGGCTTCGAGCAGTTATTTTCAATTAAACTACCTGAGATGTGTGACTCTTTGGTGGTCAAAGGGCCCCAGCTGGACACTGTTTTTACAGAAGTCACAAGCCAAAAAGTTTAGGAATCACTGATTTAATCTTTAGCAATAAATTCTGTTTCATAAAATCACCATGTCTTTTTATGTAAAATCTTAATCTGTAAAGTAACTACTAACGACAGCTGTCAGATAATGGTAGTAGGGTAAAAAACGAAAGACAATCTTATCGTTTGAGAAATGACTTGACAAATGTACATCAAATGAGTCTGTGTCTAGTTTCCATTTAACACATGAAACCATTTCTCTGAAGATTTCTTTGGAAGGAATTGTAACCAGGCACACACAAACAGCATGGTGTCGACACCCACACCTTTCAGTGTTCAACCTGAAACCTCTCACTTCTTCCTTTCACACAGATCTCCTCCTCTCCTGAAATTAGGAAGTTATCTGTGAAATGCTCACCTCTACCTCCCGCACACTTTTCGCTTCTCCACCTCTTTTTTTCTCTGCTCTGTTCATTTTTTTTTTTTTTTTTTGGTGCACTGATAGCCAAGAAGTTCCCCTTTTTCTCCTCCACAGCTATGTGATGCTTTATTCTGAATCTCTGCGTGCAGTCTGTGTCTGAGTTTGATTAAATTACTGATAAGCATAAAACTGTGATGTTGTAGAGCTTTAAATATCTCCCCTGTGTGTCTTTTACTGTAGATGATGGCCATTGATGAAATGATGGTGATACTCCACATAGGACACTCAAAGGGGAACTGCCTTACTTCTGCATGCTATTCAAATAGTGCTTAGCAATGTTGTACTTATCTACTCTATTCCTGTAAATAGTTGCTTATCATAGAGAAACTGATGGGATTCATGTTAGTCCACATCAAGTTCTTATCTATTGTCCGTTCCATGTTACCTCCCTGTTTGCTGGTGCAGATGCAACAGCTACTCTTCTGTGTGATGAATCACACATAGTACACATTCATTTTCTCGATTAATGGTTTCATCATTTGATCAAAAATGGTTAGACGAAAAGATCAAATAGTAAAAAATGCCTGTTACAATTACCTAAAACCAAGAAATGCCTTGTTTTGTTTGACCAAGAGTCCAAAACCCAAAGACATCCAGTTTACAGTCACATAAGTTAAAGAAAAGCAGAAAATTCATAATTAATTTCATGTCAGCTGATCCATTTCAACTCGTATACATCCAGCTTCACATACTTGCAGACAGTAAAATATGAAATATGAAATCTTACAAGCAGCGCAACATACTGTCTAAGCCCAGGGAGTATCTCTCCATATCAATAAATAATGTATAAACGCATGACAGCTACACATCTATTTGGATGTAAATTTGTTATAAGTAACATATAGAAAACAGAAACCACACGCAGTATGCAAGAGGAATGTTATTCAACCTCTTCCCAAGATTCTTACAATTTCAGATGCATACTGAAATTTTCAGTGCTTTCCAGCCAGTTTTAAATGTTCCCCTGGATATTATCATCGTTCACCTCTCCCTCATAAGTTGCACTGTGCAGGGACCCCAGCCCATACTTTGCCACACCATGCATTCCAAACAATCCATTAAAACTGAAGCCCCTCCTCGCCCGTATGCCAGTCAGTGCCATGTAAGTGTGCGTTTGTGTGAGGCTGCAGCGAGGAGTGTTTGTGTGTGTGTATATGTGTGTGTGTGTGTGTGTGTGTGGAACTTACCAGCTGAGTGTAGCAGAGTGTGTTTTCTGTGATGCTGTGGCTGAAGTGCGGCTGCAGCTGCTGCTGTTGTACCTGTACCAGCGTTCTCTCCCTCCTGCTCGCACTGCAACTCTCCTGACAATGAGCCACCCGTCCACGGATAGCATTTGAAGTGACTTAAGAAAGAGAACAGGAACAATCACTTTGTTCTCATTTTTCAGATGAGTACCTTCGGAGAGAAGGAAGGAAGGGAGGGGAGAGGAAGTCAACAAGCCTAGTGCCTTCCTGCAGAAAAATAAGGAAACACTAGATAGACATCTCCATTTCTCTGTGAAATAGGGATTTGTACAGCTTTTGGAAGAACACGGCGAGATCAGATTTTTCTGTTTATTGACAGAGATTGATTTTGTATTTAAGGTAAATAAAATAAAATCTCCTGTGTTTTTAGATGGGATATGACAAGATCTTAAACCTTTGAACAGCTCTAGAAACTTTTAGGGTAAAGATATTTCAGGTCTTTTCTAGATTGCAGAAGACAAAGTTTTAGGCAGTTGATGAGTGCTGTCATACAGGGGCTGTGCGCTATGACATTAACACCTACTGTATGTATGTAATGTATTCTAGCAAAAAAGCCCTGCAACAAATACATCCTCTATTAAACCCTTAATGTTAAGTTTTTGTTTTATTTTAAAGAAAAAAAAAACACTCAGATTGTTTCCTTCTTTCTAAATGTTCATTTCCGGTGACTTGTTTGTGGTGTTGTTATAATGGCTTGCACAATGTTGCATAATAAATATTCTTGCTATTTTGTCCACCTTCTGCAAAAAAGCATGACAGATGAAAACAGTGACAATGAAAAATTCATGCATAAATAGATGAAATGTGTCAACACAGACACTAGGTGGCAAGAGTGTCCCATTGTTTGAGTGACACTTCAGTCCTGTTTACACCACTTTATGTATCCAAATGGTGACTGGAGACAGGTTTTATGATCTGTCTGTGGGTTTGAAATCTAAATATGCTAACGTCGGCCCACGTCTTGATGTCCTGTTCTTCCCTTTTGGCAGAGAAGTTGGTGAACAAAGACGATCTTATGAACTTCGTTTTTTTAATTGAGATGAGGTGGCACTTAGTAGATCAGGAGAGAACTGCAGTAATTGAGCTCATATCATTGCAAGTGTGAAACTGTCTTTTATGAGTTATGGCCGATCATTAGCTGTGTTAATTAGCTCATAAAACCAATTAACCTCAGAACCTGGACGATGCCTGCTTCAATTCCTGTGAGGAATTAAGGATTTTATTAATAGAAAGGGAAAATCTGTAGGTGTGTGTGCCTGTTTGTGTGTCTTTTTGTCATCATTCGGTTTGTTTACAAACATCCACTCTGCTACAAGTTCTGTGTACTGTACAGCACTGTTGAGCCAAAATGGCGGCTCAGCAGGCCGAGGTTCAGGGATTGACTTCTCCCCACGACCTGTGAAGCCAGCTTTTTTCACTTTCCTCCATCTGTCCTGGTGAAGACGCTTCATAAAGAGGAAAATCTTTAATGTATCTCCTTTTTCAAATAAAAGAAGATCAAAGTTGAACCACATTCGCCTCCACTCATGCTTTGAATAATTTCATCTCCCCATCCTCTTCTTGACCTCTCTGACTTTTCATCATCAGCTCGAACATGCACGGTCACGCAGCACCAGCCCTTTTCTAATGATTCTCAATAGCAAAACGCAAACCAGGCCACAGAACTGCCCGGCCCTTTGACCCGGCCTGCCCAGTGGTCAGCTTCAATAAAACGAACTCATTAAGAATCTCTAAGTGGCTTTTTGGTTTCTGTGTCACTCTCAAAAGAAGCTGTGGAAGTATATAAGACATGACATTGACACCATGCAAGATAGAATATCATCTGGGAGCATCTGAAACAAGAGCTTCAAGTCTACTACTTATCGACTGTAAAGCCACAAGTGAGTAAATTTTTCTCTCTGAACATTAGATTTTAGATTAACAGTCGTACTAAATACTTTTTTTGTTTTTCTCCTGTCTGTTGTTCCTTCACTCTCTCAGCAGAAATGACTGGAGCTGCTGTGTCCGTGTGCCTGCTTTTTCTCCTCTCTGTATGTTCAGCGTGTTACATCTCCAACTGTCCTATCGGTGGGAAGAGGTCCATCATGGACGCACCACTGCGTAAGGTGAGCTGCTTTTATCAATCTCTAACTTTGAGTTAAATTGTAGTCACATTATGAAAATAACACTAAGAATAATCACTTGATTCCTCCATCAGTGCATGTCATGTGGCCCCGGAGACAGGGGCCGCTGCTTCGGCCCCAGTATCTGCTGCGGGGAGGGCCTCGGCTGCCTGCTGGGCTCCGCAGAAACAGCTCACTGTGTGGAGGAGAACTACCTGCTCACCCCCTGTCAGGCAGGAGGGAGACCCTGTGGATCTGAAGGTGGACGCTGTGCTGCGTCAGGACTGTGCTGTGATGCAGGTCAGGAAAAAATTGAAGTACCTATAGGCAAAAAGTATTTGGATCCTTTTACTTAAGTAGAAATAGCAGTACCACACTGTCATATCTCTGTCAGTGGTACCATTGGATAATAACTACTGCAACGCATTAATACTGTTTAACACTATTTTAAAGTTCCAGTTGACATGGTTGAGTTTTTACTATTGCTACATGATATAATGGGATGGTTTGTAAATAGCATGCCACTTTAAGAACATTTTGCATGTCATGTCTATGCATTTTAAGCTTTTTGTGTGTCATTTACTGCTATTTTAGTGTGGGTTAGAGTTGGGGGTATGAGGAACTAAGTAAACACATGAAAGACATACGTCGACATGTGAACAGCAAAAAATGCGTAGTGATAAAATGCCAAATGACTTGAGAAATCGGTGTGTTTATACACCATTTGGTGATACCAGGCTGACTAGGGTAGTTTAATATACAGTAGGCTTCTGTATATTATTCATCAGAATTTAAACACTTACAGACTTTAAAATCTGAATCTGTAATGGTAACTAAGCTGTTAAATAGATGCATTTGAGTAAAAAGTACAATATCTCCCTCTGAAATGTAGTAGAGTAGTAGTATTTGAAAGTATCATAAAATTAAAATACTCAAGCAAAGTACAAATACCACAATTATACTTAAAGGGGCGATATGTAAGTATTTTAGTTTAAAACATCAAAGATTATCAACAGAATGTGAAGAAATATAAGTTTGGACATTATGTCAAAGATGTCTTTGTCTTGTTTTGTAGAGATCTACTAAAGTTTGCATGCTAACAAGCTAGCCCTGTCCCATCCTGTCACATAATACCACTCTGTACCTGAAAAAGCTATAGTGTCACGGTAGCATTCAGTCTGCCCCCAGTCCAACATGTGGGGATGAAAATGTAGTAACTGCGAGAAGGTCGTGTTACAACTATTAGATTTAGATTTAGCTAACAATTAAGCTAATGCTAGCTCAATGTGCGGGTGAGGGTATTTGTTTGGGTTTGAATTCAACAGTTGGCCAATTTTCACACTTTGCCCCTTTAAGTAGGCTACAGTACTTGAGCAAATGTACTGCACATAATGTTGATTTATGTTGTTTTTCAAGTATCTTTCTAATCAATTACAAACTTTGATTTACGGTAGCTAAACGATTCTGTGGCACAAGAATGTCAGCTTTGATCCCAGCTCCTTTTACTAATGGTTCCAGCATTAGAATATTGATTTCTGTTAGAGCTGTACATATTTTCAAAGGCAAGCAACGTACTGTGTCTTTTCTTGAGCACTACTATTTCAGTCATTGTGAATTCCTACATTTGCCCTCTTGCTCTGAAAAAGTTCATGGTACCATGTCACCAGACCTGATAACAACATATTGTAAAGCGAATGGTTGCAAAAGCAGGGGACCATGATCTACATTATAACTCCTCCTTTTTCTTTTTTTTTTACCACAGAGAGTTGTACAACAGATCAATCCTGCCTCATCGAGGAGGAAGGAGACGACCAAACTGGACAATTTGAAGGCAGCGATCCCGGTGACATCATCCTCAGGCTCTTGCATCTGGCTGGTCGCACTTCTCCTCATAGAATCCACCAATGAGCGGCCTCTAACAACAAGGTCTCACGGGAAATTCTGCAAGTGTATAGTTGAAGTGGGACTAGTGTTTATTCATATTGTCGCATTTCTATGTTTGTCATCATAACTCTGATTTTGCTGTTTCCCCTGGAGTACTTCTGTAGAGTGCCTTTGTCAATATATTTTTATGTATGAAAATAGGGATGAATACTGACAGTGGTCATCCAGATATCTGCATGTTGAAATAAAGTTTTGAGAGAGTATCAAATGTTTCCCTTTATTTTAGAGCAACCTAACTGAAATTTGTGCATAATACTACTGTTAAAATGGCTGCAGCATAGACAATTTCAAACCTTCGAAATCCTTTTCTCCATTCAGTAAAGAACAAGTCAGCGTAAATCTTATCAGGTCACTGTGTTAGAGTCTATTCCACTATCACCAAATGTACAAAGCCCAGAGCCATCTTTATCTTTCAGATGTTCGGCTTTGCACAATCTTGTAACAGACCGCTACACGAATCCAAAGGATCCTCACATGACACTGTGTGTGTGTTTTCGTGGCAGCTCTAGTGACACAATGTCACTGTTGCAACAGTTATGGTGGTTATCTTGGACAGTAGTCACCTTTGATCTATCTCTTTTGTGAACTTCATGGTTAAACCATAAGCTCCTGTTCTGTGCAAGAGGTAAATGCCCAAAAAATAGTTGTAAACACAGTAGATTGAAGAGATCACTCACGTTAACACTCTGAAACACTGATGACAGATTATTGATATTGTGCTGCAGTGAATTATTTTGTCACATCTTGGTGGGCTCTGTGACAGATTTTTCTTAGGAAGCTTATCTTGAAAAGTGACATCACCTGAGTAAAGTACCTTTGTAATGAAATGTGGAGTATAGTTCACACGGTAGAAGTGACAGTGAACTCCAGGAGGGTTTATAAGAGCTGCTAAAAAATGACACATACTCTAAACCTTATAATAAAATAGCATATTCAATGCATTTTGAATATGCTTTCAGGACAGGAGCACTGTCAATGTAACATGAAAAACTAACTACATTACAAGAGCAACCTAATTTAATTTTTCTTGTAAAATAAATAAATAAATAAATGAAAGAGATGCAAAAAAAAAAAAATTGTAAAAAGTCACGTGGAACAAAAAACAGAAGAGAAGGAAGACTTGGCTAAAGCAAGGACAAAGGGGAAAAAGGAAAACAGAGTGAAACAAGATAAAAACAAGGAACTGAAATCAAAAGGCCAAATCTGAGGGTTGAGGGAAGGAAGGAGGATGAAGTATGAGAGAAAGCAGCAAACATTATGCCCTGTCAGCACTTGTTGGGGTATACTTCATGCAATATGCTAATGTGTGTGACTTTTAAGATCATTACATTACATATCTGTGCACGGGCCAGATCTCCAAAATATGTGTCCTCACACACACTTTTACTATTTCCCCTCTGCATTAAAGGTTACATAACATTAGTCTCTGTGCCTCTTTTTATCTCTCCTCTGGCCTTATCGGTGCTAGTGGATCTTCTGTGAGCTCTGCTGGATGAAGGGGGCTGGAGCTGCCTTAATTGGAGACACCTGTGGTTAATGATTGCAGCGCTGGAGTTTTAGAGTATAAAACAGGCAGATAACCACTTCTTACTTCACCTTCACTGTCAGCCACCATGTCTTTCTCTGGGAAGTTCCAGCTGGAGACTCAGGAGAACTTTGAGCCTTTCATGAAGGCCATTGGTAAGATTTGTACTGCTTGAGTAAAGTTTCATGACTGTTAGTGTAGTTGCTAATGTTGTTTTTGGTTATGAAGTGCAAGCAAAGTAGGGGAAGATAAAACACCAAAAATGCTTATTTAACTCACTTTTTAGCTTAGGAAATAAAAACTACTTCACTGCAAAAACTCTTATTTGTAAAGTCTAATGGTTTCTTATCAACTTGCCATCTGTCTTAGGTCTCCCTGATGATCTCATCCAGAAAGGCAAAGATATCAAGAGCATGTCTGAGATCGAGGAGACTGGCGACAACTTCAAAGTGACGGTCACAACTGGCTCAAAGGTCCTTGTCAACAGCTTCACCATCGGAAAGGAGGCTGAGCTGGAAACCATCACTGGAGAGAAGGTCAAGGTAAGCCAGGATGCTAACTTTTTAGGGATGTAAAACACCAATTAAACATGGCTCACTGTTATGAAATCCCTTGAACCAGAATTGCCTGAGATGAACACTGTCCTGAGCTGACTTTAATCTTATGTCATATTTCTTGTAGGCGGTGGTCCATCGTGAAGGCAATAAGCTCAAGGTTTCCCTGAAGGGAATTGAGTCTGTCACAGAACTGGTGGATGGGAACACAATTGTCAATGTGAGTAGACAAACTGTACAATTTCACTAAAGTGCATCTTGAATATATATATATTTCATTTTTTCCTAACTTTTTTTTTTTTTCCTCCCCCAGACAATGACTCTCGGTGGCATTGTGTACAAGAGGACGAGTAAACGCATGTAACTGTCTGCACTAGGGATAATAAAATGTAAAAGACAATGCTGTCTTATGGTTTTTCTTTTACTTAATGGTCTGAATATCTAAAATTGGATGCTGGCAGGTTAAATTTTGTTGGAAATCAGTGTAGTGTTTGTAGTTGGCTTCAAAACATGGCTTTTTATCTACTGGCAAACACAACCCATAAGACTGCTCCATATCAGCTTTAACATGCTGGCATTGCAGTGATGGTGTAAAGTATTTGGCATTGCAGAGTGGCTAAAGGTCAGTGAGCGCTCCACTGAACTGATAACAAGCAACAGGTGCTTCAAAGGGGCTCAATCAACAAGTACAAAAGTGGACTAACTGCTCAGCAACCTTCACCTAGCTCATGTGGTTTGAATGACTGAAAATGGGAAGGCCAGGTTCACTTCAAGATGTGTGATGGGGCGTTAACCGGACACTTACCAGTGGACAGTAAGGGAGGGCTCTGCTACAGATAACGGTATAATGTTCATGAGCTAGTGTTGGGGGACAGGGTTGCACCTGCTGATCAATGTGACTTAGTCTGCTAGAAACATTTAACTGAGTCAGTTTTTGATCACCTGCCAAGCACTGGTAGCACCAACAACTTTAGCGCTGTAGTTCTCAAGCTTCATATAAGGCTGACTCCAGGACAGGGTAATGTGCAATATTTTCTGTAATGTGCAATATTTTCTACAATGTTACATTTTTTCCATTTTATTTGTAGTGGGGGGTTTCCCCCACTACATATTCACTTCCATTTCCTTACAATTGCAGTATTTGGGTTGTACACAGGGAACAATGTGTACAATACTTTTCCTTGGGGAAAGTGTACTTAAAAATTGCTAGTGATGTTATTATTCACCTGTAGTGTGACAGGATGTCTGTAGTTGCCTCTCGGCCAGCATATTGGAAAAAGTGCAAGATTTCTTATTTCATTGCATGTAGACAAAGATCTTTTTTTAAAAAAAAATAAAAAAAAAAAATAAACATTTTGATGTGTCTTGTTCAAAGCTTTGCCTTACTCGGGGTTAAAGTATTACATAATGTACTACCTGTTCTGGTACACAATGATACATTTTGCATGAAGAACCAGTGTCATTTAGGGTGAAGTGTATCTGCTGAAACCTGTTTTTAAAAATACTACTGGGGCTATTTATTCTGCAACATTATGAATTTAAAAGCACAAGTTATACGTGACACCTATTTTTTTTTTTTTATTTTATTAATGAAAAGTGTAACTACAAAAGTGAGTGATACAGAAAATGATCATGAGACTAATTGTTTACTCTCACACCAATACTCAAAGTTGTTGATGGTAAACAATGGGATGGTTTTCTTGACTGCAGTCGGCTGGTTACTTCCTCCGGTGGAAGAGGTTCTTGATTCCCTCCTCCACGGACTTGGGTTCATGCATCATGGCCATTGGTTTGTTCTTCAGCGCTGCCTCTCTCATACTGTGGTAAACGTACTCGTTCTGCTTGAACATCCTCAGCTCCATCTCCGCCTGCATCCGCATCGCCTGTGGGGATATCAGGAAGGAAACATCAGCACCTAAAATGTCCACCCATGAACCAATTCCTCACTATAACTCAAATTTTGCTGTAACATTTAAATGTGCAGAGCCATAGAAAAACTGATCACTTGGGGGGCAGTGGAAACAAACTGTAAATGCAAGTTTATGAAGTGAACTTGTTGGCAAACAGCTGCATATTCACTTATACAGCAGTCAAGATTGGCCACTATCCAGTATTTGCTCTCATGCTAGCTCTGTTTTGGGTCTCTACGAACTCCTGAGGAGAAATATGAGGTTCTTTTAGCTGCGCAAGTAGTGTTGAGTGGGAACCTTTAGCAGAAAGCAGCTTCCTGCGATGTCTGAAAACACTGAGAGCAGTGAGAGTGAAGTTGTGGCAGGGCGACTAAACGATGAGCTGAAACTCGCTAGAAAGCTTTGTAAAGCCGACGGAAGCTGCAGATTGAGGTGATAGTTTTCAGTAGGTTAATCACTACGAGTGAACCCTTGCACATTTACCTTTGATACATTAATATAAAAATATTGATTATGTTATCTTTGGTAATTATTAATATCGCAGTCACTGAACTGTATCCAACACAAGATAAACCACCTGGCTGCTCTTTTTGCCTAGCAATACAATTTTTAGCTGAGCCCAAAGAAAAGCGTAAACACATCCAACTGCAGATTTTTAGATTATAAGGTGTTTACATCCAGGTCCTTGGTGATGGGATGTGTTGGGCCGTGGGTGACCATGAGAATGGCATAGGCCTTGCAGATCATCCCGTGTCCGACCTCTATCAGTCCAGCCTGCCAGTGGTTCACTCCCGCTCGCATGGCGGCCATACCGAGAGCAGCGTTGTTTGGGTGGTACAGCTTCCTGTCAGAGGGAAGAAGTTTGATTTATTTCTGTATCTATCCAGTTTTTCACACTGGAGCGTTCCATGTGTTTATCATTATTACTGGATGGAAAATGATATGCAAGATGCTCACAGGAGACTGCTCAGTATCTTTGTACTCACATGTATCCTTCCACCATTTTGCGGGCGTACTCTGCAGCATCATCAAAGTACTGCAGGTAAGCTTGCACCTCGCTTAACGTGCTCCACATCCTCAGCAGGTAGATGTGAGTGTCAGCTAAAATCGGCTCTGTTTTCTCTATGCATTCCCTGCAGATTTTTACCACCTGAAAAGACAAAAGTAACAACATGAAGAGAAAAATCTTTAAAAAAAACAAAAAACAATATGGAAGTAGGATAGAGCATTGGTCTTGAATTCTGTTGTGATATTAAAAAAGAAATCTTTCTGCAGCCACTTAATCTGCTTTTTTTATTTGGGGTTGTAGTTGATTGATACAATACCTCATGGTAGTCACCGTTTAATCGAGCCTTGTCCATCTTCTCCAGCATTTCAAAGCAAAAATCTGTTGCCTCTTTCACCTGCTCATCTGAAGGCTAAAAGGATGGATAGGAAAGATTGACCTAATTTTAATGAGGGATTCAAACACTGTTGCATGACTCAAGTATTAACACACTGACAATGAAATACAAAATGAAATGTGCGCCATCAAATATTTTTTGGAGGACATACTGTTTAAGGCAACGCAGGTTTGCCTTGCTGAGTTCCATAAAGGCAAAAGCCTGATTATTTTTATCTTAAGAAGACCTTTGACTAACTCAAGGGTCCATGTCCAAGGCCTGAATGTTCCTTTTACTAATAACAAACAAGATTTAGTCCCACATATGATTAATTAATAGACAAACTTTGTTATTGTGGTTATTATTTGACAGCCAAATCTGGCATGTCGCAGCAGTTTTGGTAAATATGTCAGACTTATATTGTTAAAAGAAGACTAATAAACTTGTTAAAGTTTTTTTTTTCCTGATAGCTCCAGACAGATTCTATTTATAACCTGTGAAAAACACACACACACACACACACACACACACACACACACACACACACACACACACACACACACACACACACACACACACACACACACACACACAAAGAGTGGAGTGGTAATTGTGCTGACAGAAGTCATTAAGTCAGATGTCATTAAATTACTGCATTTTATGGTATGTCATGCACCAATTTACTCTAGTATTAAATGGTAAATTGCAATCAGTTTGGTATTGGAAATGGAATGTAAATTATATAATGAAATAGATACAATAATAATACCTGGTATATAGTAGAACATTCAAATACAGTTTCAGCCTTGAAGTAATGGAAGTTATTGAGTAAATGAAGTTTATGTCAGTCATGTTCTTCTACCTCGCTGTTTTCCAATGCATGCGTGAATGTATGCACATACACCCGGATTAGAAGCTGATTCCATTGGGAGTTATCTTTGCTTAGAATAGACACAGTAGCTCTGCTTCTCATGTTTCCCGCCTGTGCTTATCACCCATGTCAGTATGAGCTATGGTGAGAGGGTTTGGTCCTTTTTGACTTTGCAGAGTATAAAACTCATTCTCTCAGTTCAATAGAAAAATTCAACACAAACCTTGACTCCGTCCACTTCCCTTCCCGCCATCTTCAAGTCATCTTTGGTGTGGTTTTTGCAGTGCTCACACGTGCAGTCAAAGAAATATTGAGTTTTCAGCAGTCTTTGTCTCTCCTCTGACAAATTCATGTAGTCCACATATGAGACTGTCAGCTCCTCTCCCTCTGCGATCTTACCCAAAGAACGCAGCTCAATCCTGAGGAAGAGATACACAGTTATATGCGGAAATACACGCTGAATGGCAGTCTTTGATTGATGGTGAAACCCTGTTCCATCATGTGGCTTTCAGTTCATTCAATCCAGTTGTGGGATTGATTAGGATTAGGATTAGTGAATAACAACGTAGACATTATTTCAAATTTAAGCCAAAATTCATTTCATTAATTCCTCATGTGCCACTTTTCAAAAATGACATGTATTCGAATTAACTATGAAGCAGCAGAATATTTTATTCCATTTCTTGTGGATCACTTTCTATCATTTATTGTTTAGTTCATTTGCATCTCACCCATTTGATTTGTTTTACTTCTTTCAACATTTTGCAAACATGTTAAACTAAATCCACATTTAAAAAATTCAGAACAAAACCTATCCACATCTAGTAAATTTTGAAGCAAAAAATTTAGTAAAAGGCTTAAATATGAAATAATTAAGGACATTTAGAAACACAATTTTTAAAAAATATTGTTTTTGTCATGGTGTTGCGTGGTGTAAGAGGTAATAGAAACAAAAGCTGTTATGAATGAAAGAAGCGACACAGTATACACATGGTGGACGGTCACACAGTGTGGTCACACACAGATAAACACACGAAGTGACAAACTGGCAGCACTTGAGTAAAACTTTGTGTGGACACGACAAACAGATAAATATGTGGGGTTGAAAAATGAGGTTTCAGCGGGTGAAGAAATATGCAGAGAAAAAAAACCCACACCAGCCTTTTGTTATACTAAAGGAGCTAAATAAAGGTTAGAGCATTCATGTAGCAAGTTGACATATTGATGTGAAATCTGAGTCACATCAAGCCTACGGTACTTTCTACAAGGCACTACTGACAAAGACTTTTATTTTCTACAATGGATGGAGTTGATGGTGAGCGTTTAATGTCATAGTCTAATGGTGCTCTAATAAATAACACTTAAGAAGGTTTAGGTTGAGGTAACGCACCTCCGTTGAGAATGAAACATAGTATTCACAGCCGATTGACTGAAAGACAAACAGGAAGCAGTTTTACACCAAAGGCAACCTGGCACACTTTCACACACACAACAGCACGTAAACACACATAGAAACATTTTGCAATTGAATTTTCAAGTTAGAGTTGATTCCAGCTGAATACAAAAATAAGACATTTTAACTGAAAAGCACTTTTCACTGACGCGTTTCTTTTTTTCTTTTTACTTACTTGCCGTGGTTGAGAATTACAGTGCAGTTTGGCCAGCAGTCGTGATTCACCAGACACAAATTTGGGAAAAGGCCGACTCCTACTGCCTGAAGACCCCTCTGGTCACTCACAGTGAAGCCGTTGCAGTTGATCTGGGAGAAAAAGGGGAATAATTATGTATGAATACATTAAGTTTGGGAGGAAAAATAACAGAGAAGTTATCAATAATACAATACAAATATTTCAATATTTTTGTCTGTTCACTTCAGTGTCACCATTAAGGGGCAAACACCAAAGAGAAGGTTAAATAGAAGAGACTGAAGACAACAGCTGTGTCTTTAATTCAGTGATTTTCCACAGTGTACATTTAGAACCAAATCTGTGTTAATAGGTCAAATGATAATGGTTCCTAACCTGGGGGTGGGGACCCTTCAGTGGGTCTGAGAAAGATAGTGAAGATGTGAAATCATGATTTGTTCTGCGTTCTGATTTGTTTATAATCTGTGCTTTTTTTTTATGAGCAAATACTGAATAATTTTACCTCTTCTGTCTCTAGAACCTATTCATATTAAACTATATGAAAATGGAATATACTACAACTCTTTGGTTGAACTGCTCACAACTCATAGACATGTGAAATCTGCGATAAGCAGATGTTGCTTTGCTTTGTTACAAGATAAAAAGTTTTGTAAACTGTAAATTGATGCATTGTACCCCAGAAATGTGGGCTGCTTTTTTGCCTGAATTTGAACAGAATTGCCAGTAGATCCTACAATTCATTAACCCTGGTGAGTTGGTTAAAGGTCACATTAGGCAGTGCTTGCCAACTAATGTCCGTGTCAACTGTCCGTGTCACATATCACACGTCTACTTCATACTCACCAGGCATTCACCTTCAGGCAATCTCAGTTGACGCTAAATACATCACATGATCTGCACTGCAAAGTGTACAAACTCTACTGTTTGTTCTTGTTAGCAGCCTGGACATCTTGTTCAGCTCAAGGTGTTGTAAATGTAAATAGACTATATTCACAATCAACCTGGTACATTGCGGGCCAGCTGTGACTCAAATATTAAGTGTCACAACTTGTGCTGTAAACTCAGGTATGAAGGAACATGCTTGAGTCTACCACTGGTATTTGCTGCTTTGTCAGTCGTTAAAATGGAAAATATCCTGGTGGCAGACAAGAAAATATTTGTTTTTATGAGCTGACAAGGTTGACTGAACACATTTGTTTTGGTCTCTGGGAAATTAGACTGCCTCATTTGGGCAGGAGGGGCATGTACAGCCCACAATCTTCTAGTGCTTGTTCATTGAAGCAAGGACACAACTTATACGTTTAACACCTACACTATCCACATAATAGAAATAACAAATATGGGATATAGATATTTAGACGCACCACTCCAAAAACATGTGAGATGACATCAATTGTGTGCTGTTTGCTGCTGCGGGGCCAGTAGTCAAGGAAGTTGTGGATGTCCACTTTGAACTCCTTTAACTCATCCTCTTGCATGTCAGTAATGTGGTCCTCCAGCTCCTCCAGCGTGGTCAGCTGAATATCAGACACCACACTCCCCTCCTTGTCAAGTCGCCACATGATGCGAGCCACCAAACTACAACCACAACAATCAACAATGGAGAAGAAGATTTGTGACTGCGAGGGTCACGATGAAATCAGACAATGTTATCCTGAGACCAATTTAGAGGACTACTGAGACTGACCATAACGTGAAATGGTTATGCAAGTTTAAGTAACCACAAAGTGACACAAAGGCGAAAATGATGCAGTTCACAAATGAACACTAATCACTAACAGGATGAAAAAAAAGATTGTTCCTCCCTTGATTAAATGTGGCTCTATGCATTTGTGTTTTCTTGATCAAAACAAAATCAACAAAAATCCTGATTTAGTAGGGTAGATTACCAATAGTGGAAAAACAAGTCTCTCTTAGTATGGAGGTTCTTTACCAGTGTTTTGTCACAAAAAAAAAAGAAAAATCTAAAATCTAGTACCATGCAATACCTTTCTATTAATCCCTATTTCCTTTTTCCTTACACTTACCGGATGTTCTCATTTGGTGCTTTGCCATAAGCTTTGATGGCACTACATTCTTGCTTGTGTTCAGTCCAGCCGGCACGCTGGCAGGTTCGGTCACAATAATGAGCAAATTTGCACTGGCCGCACCTCTGCAGCTTGTCTTGTCTGCGGAAACAGCTGTGGCAAATACGCTCCGCTAGACTGCAGAAAAGAAGAGGAAACATAAGATGGAAAGATGTTTTGATCCATATATCACATCATTTTACCTTACTGTTGGCCACTGTTATGTTAATATTCTCTTTTTTATATGTAGGCCTTTTTGTTTAAAGACAATGTCTAGACGAGCATGAAAGTCCAGTCTTTCTATATCATCTTTCAGGTCAGATCATCACAAAATAATCTCAACATTCCCTTCTCACAGTCTTCATCAGCAAAATCCAAAAAAGCTAGTAAGTGGGACTTGAATCGAGATTATTTTGTTACACAAGTTAATGTTATCTGTTTGTAAAGCTACAGTAAGGAAATTATTATGAGGATTATGGGTACTTCTGAGATAGATGGGGATGTTGGATGTAAAGACAGCCTGACCTCTTTTTATTTTATGCATTAAAGATATTTTAAAGCACTAAGTATCCCAACTGAATTTTCTTTAATTTTGCACATAACAGCGTCTGTACAAAAGATATTTTCTATTAAAGGTCATGGTTCAAAAACCAGTGTAAACAATGATACTAAAGAAAAATAAAAGAAGGCAATAGTGGCTGGGAGAGACACAAGCCGAAAATTATACTCTGTCACAAATTTCTCTTCCACATTCGATGGTTATTTTGTCCATTTCAAAAATGATCACAAATAACAGTCATAATGAAATGGGGTGAAATGATGCATCTCAAAGTTTCTAGATAGTCTTTTGTTTCTGATTGTTCCAGATAAGGTTATTATCACTCAGCGTTTGCTTGAGGATGAGCTGTCTCCACTGGAGGCACAGTTGTCTATGTAAAATTACATCCACTTGATGAAGTAACATCAGTAAAATCAGACTACAGCATTTTCCAAAATATAATATGATGGAAGAAGAGCAAAAACAGACGATATATGATATACGATATACAGACGACCCAACCACTTCCACAGCTTGCTTCTTCACTGTACCTGTCAAACACAACAGCTGCAAGACTGGGCTCCGAAAAAATTACATCTCCGGCCCAAAACTCCTTGGTCGCCTTCAGACCCCTCCCCTTTCCAGGTGAGTCAAATATTGCCACGTTTTCCATGGTAGCTGCACTGGTTCCTGAGATGCTGGTGAATGGATGGTGAGCCGCGTGGATAAAAGAGGAGTGTTTCAGTGGCAGAGAGAGGCTAAATACAGCAATAGGATAGTTGAGGAACTCGTCAACCAATCTGTGCCCTCTGTGTTCTTCAATGACAACTGCACATTCCTAAACCAAGGCACTAAAATAGCCATTCACCTCTTGAACTGTACCAAGAGAGACAGAAAATGGGTTGGTGTTGATTTGTATCATTAGTTCACTGAGAAATATAATGTCCTTTCTGAACAGATCTGTCAATAAAACCAACAGCCTTGCTTGAAAAGTAACACCACTGAACTCATTGTTGTTCTCTTAGATCCCTCTATTTATTTAAATTTGTGGTCACACTTTCAGCTTTTTGTCCTGTTAACTACCCCCGACTGTGAGTTGGTAGGTGCCTGGTCCCTGAGGGTTATTTTTGTCCCTCAGCTGGTGCTGTCTATCAGGAGTGTATGGTGACGTTGGACAGCTGCAAGGCGTTTGACAGAAACACAGCTGATTTATCTCCCTGCCTCTACTATGTTCTGGTGCTTTCTCTAACTTACTCCATCTCTCTATAACTGTAACACGTTATGATATAACAGAGCAACATTACAGTCTCACTGACATACCCACTGTGACGTTGACCAGTTTTAGGGTCCTTGAATGGGGGTCAGACCCCACAATGTGACTACCATGTTTGGGTCCCCACAGTGTGATATAAAGAAGAACACAGACACACGTACATACCAAAACTCCCCCATATACATGTGTACACACACATCCTCATATTTTCGAGGTAAAAGATTTCTCCACATACAGAAGTAATAATAATCATTTCTAGATACAGGATTATATTCATATACATATTATAACACTGTGCAATATCACTGAATAATTGGGTTAAAGTTATTTGTTATGTATGTGTATTTAATTAGGAGTATGTTTTACATCAATAACAAACAAAAAAGGATCAACAAAAAAGTATACAATGAAGAGAGGAAGACAACAGAAAGAAATAATTCAAATAATTATTTTCCTAGGGGAAAACAACACAATAATGTAAATGAGTGACATTGATTTACAAGACAAGATCACACATTAAACACATAATCAATGTAAGGGCAGGAGAACAAACAACAACAGCATATGCCAACAATTTTCCATAAAGTTAATGTATTCTATATATTTCACTATGCACAGTCATTTTTGTACCCTGTTCCCTGTTAAAATTATATTGATATCACACTTCAAAGAAGTCGAGGTGTCCCCCTGAAGAGAAGTCATTGTCCAGAAGTAATTTCATTAGTTTGGCTGCAGACTCCTGACAGGGAAAGAGACAATGACTGATGCCTGTTGACCTCTGAATCTCCTCCTGCATGTCTGTGTCCATAGGACCTGAAGGAAACCAAGAAAGTTAAGGAGAGAGTTAGGAAAATACTACGCGTTGCCTTTTGTCTCTATATGACATGCATACTAGATGGTTAAATGTGGAGATACAGATCATATTTCTTTTCATTTTGAAAAATGTAAAAACGTAAAAACGTAAAAATGTAAAAATGTAAAAACGCAAAAATGTAAAAAACCTAAAAATGAAAGCAACTTTCCTCCTTAGTGCATTTCCTTTGGGCCATAAATCTGTCATAACTGAACTAGGAAGTGAACCCAAATGCACGACTCAGAGACAAAGTACAAATAAATAATATTTTAATAATAAAGTAGCAAAAGAAAGTTGCTCTAACAGAGGAATATATAAGCAAAGTCTACAAATAAAAATTGCTCTTTCGAGGAAAACCAAAAAACTCAAGACACAGGAAAAGACAAAGTATCAAAATACTGTGCAGCAAGACTATGGTCAAACATAGTAGACTGAAACGAGGGGAGAGTTAGGGTTTCAAAATAAAACAGGAAGTCACGAGACAGACAAAACTACTTTTATGGACATGACAAAATCAAGTCTTCATTTTACTGTGAAAATTTGTGCAGCATCAGAATTGTTTAGCGAAAGCAAGGCTCATAGGGAACAAATCTAAATGCTAATGGCATCATTATTCCATAGCCATTACCTAGTACAATCAACATTTACCTCATAATGATAAATTAAAAGAAAAAAGTTGTCTATTGTCACTTTAAATCAAACATAGCTCAGCTTTGTTATACTGTATGTACCTTTCAGTTCATGCCTCTTGGATGAGAAGTAAAGTGCTCAGAAAAATGGAAAGTTTGAACATCTACAGTTCCTTGACAACTCTGCAAACTTCATCTGCTGATGAAAACTGTGTAATACAGTTGAAAGCTTCAGAACAGGCAAGTAAGTGGGCCTTGAGTTTTTATCTCAGTATGGCTTTACTAAAACAGTGGTAATTCTGTGCTTGTGGCCAGTGTATGAAGTTTCATTTACCTGGAGAATAGCTGAGAACTTTGACATTTGGTTCCTCCTCAGCCAGCACACTGAACATCATCTTCCTGGCTGCTTTTGCAGTGCAGTACAGGGCCCAGGATGGTAAGGCCTGCAGTGCATATATTGACGAGACATTCACCACGCTCCATCGCAGTCCTGGTCTGCATGGAAATGTCTGCAGGATTCCTGCAGTCAGTGTCAGAGCTGAGCTAATATTGAAGGACAGATAAGAATTCACCCTTTCAAGATCAGTGAAACTCTGAAACCCAGAAATGGGACCTAAGGAACCTGGGAGCAGAGAGAGAGAAAGACAGAGGGGTTAGGTAAAACTAGACTTCACTTCGTCAGCAGGCAAAATCAGCATGAACCAGGCTACTCAGGCAGATCTAAACTATTACATTCAAGACTCACCAGCATTGTTAATCAGGAGCACATTATCAATTTCATTCACAGCCTCCTGCCTTGCCACCCTCACAGTTTCATTCACCCCTTCTCTTGTGCTAAGATCGGCTGCAATGCAGTGAACCACCAGCCACTGTTTGTCAGTGAAGCTCTGTAGCTCTTCCTTCAGCTCCTGCAACAAAGTCCCAGAGCGAGCCACCAACAAGAGGACAGAGCCAGGCTCCAGCAAGTGGCACACCTTGAAGAACACAAGGCATTTATTTATTTATTTATTTATAACATTTTTTTTTTTTAACAAGTTGATCACCTACTTCATGTGCTAGCGCCCGTCCAAACCCTTTAGATGCTCCAGTGATGATACAGATACCCCGGCCCAGAGTCCTTGGGTTTGTAGTGTCGATGTCTGACATCTTGGCTGTGGTGGTAAAATATAAAATAAAATACTGATGGTCACTGGAATATTTGTGGAAAGAGTGGATCTGAGAGAAGGATTACAGCTAAAGTGAAATGAGAAGAAAAGAGCCCACTGGTTTTGTCATCTTGTGACAAGGATGATGACAACATGAGCAGGCAACACTAATGCATTTTATGCGTATTATACCTCACAGTGAAATGAGATCTAACAGAAAGTTCAGAGAAATGCTTCTAAGAAAGTACTTTTAAAACTATTAGAACATTTTATATTAGAAAAAAAAGCTTTTTGACTCGTATCATTTAAGTATAAATCAGATCAAGCACTTTATAAACTGTTATTCATAGATAACAAATAATTCATGTATTTTAATAAAACATTCATATTGCACACTTTAGCCTCCACACATTCATAAGATAAGTTACTATGCATGCTAAAACATGTAACATAAAAGAAAACCAATGACAGCAGAAGAATATAAAACAGCAACAACACTGTTCACAAGGACAATAAAAGATAAGAACATAAACACATGATGTACCAAGAGAGAACACACTATAAAATTCAAAACTACCCTGAGGCATGATCACAGATAGACAGATATACATGTATGTACAGTAGTGTTTTTTTCTTGTGCAGTATGGCTCTGAATGATATTCTGAATGAATTAGTGTTTAGATGTAGGAGTGAGATGCAAACCCTTCACACATTACTTGATATATATGAATGAGCATCACTGCCACTGTGTTTAACTGAAGAATAAAAATACTCTTGTGACTGACATATTCAATTTAAACAGCTTGTGGAGGAGAAAATGAGCCACGGACTGCATGCTCAGAGGAGTAAGTTCTGAGAAACAATGTGTACTGTAGTTCCAAGGTAAAGAGGAATCTCCTAATAATGTGACGTTATCAGTAGCATTTAGACTATAATGGTAAACTTTACAATAGCATTAGCAAAAAAAAACAAAGCAGTCGATCTGAATAGAGACATTCTTTAAATATTACTGCCTGGAAAATAAAAATAAAAACAACAACAAAGATAAACTTTAAGTTATTTCTCAGCACACAGTTGCCATGGACTAATCCTCTATCCTGTGACCAGCAGGGTCTTATCCTTACACCTCATAGTGGCCAAAAGGAGTCAAAGGACCCCTGGAGACCCGAGAGATAAAACCAGCGCCTTTCCCCACCACAGGCTGCCAGAAAATAGACACTGCTGCCCCCTAATGGACAAACAATCAAATGTACCAAAAAAGGGCCTCAGCTTCAAATATTACATTGGCCTGAAAGAAGACATTTATTGGTGGATTTGTACAACCATACCACACAACAATACACCCTACCCTATCATTCATTACTATAACACAGTATAACTGTCTGTGAAGTAGAAAAACCAAAACAGATTCTCTGGAATTGTGATCACTTGTGAATTAAATTCAGAATTGAATCACCAATTGGATCATGCAGAAAAAATATAATCGCAGTGATCATGGTCAGAGTGGCACTCATCCTCTTTTCTACCAGGTAGATAATTTCCTGTTACTTGTTAGCTGCTCCAGTCAAGGTCCTGGCATTTGCATGCTTTCTTATTGGCATTGCTGGGTCACTTAACAGGGAAATCAATGTTAGGAGTTAAAAAAAATGTGGATCTTGAACCATTAAACTGCCTGTGGTAATGTCCCTCAGTTATATACATAACCCTGACCTGTATCGGTGTAGGATTTACAGTATATGTGTGTAAGAATTCTACCAGAAAATTAAAAGTTCTGGTGGCTACCCTGCCCTGGAGTTTTGATTTTATTCCTCATGTGTATCTTTGTGCCTCGGAGGTTCCTCTCCCATCCTGCAGGTGGCACACTGGTGTTCATTTTCCTAACCACTTGATCAGGAAAGAAAAGGATGAGCAAAACAAATAAACTCAGCTCTAGCACATACAGGATAAGAGACAGCAGGTGAGGATTTAACAACTATAAAAATACAAATATCTTTATGCTTATGCTGAAAGGCAAAACAGCAGTGAGCACATAAACAGAAGAAAGCATAACAGGAAAATAAGAGAAGCTCTTTGGCAATCAACATCAACTGAAAAGTAAATCCAGTTTTCCCCAGATGAGGACAGAGGTGTCTCTTTCACATTCAAGGAGAGGTATGCTGTTGCGTACTTGTGAACTTGTAGTTTTGCAGTAGTGTTGTGTCTTTGTGTAATTATGATGGTGGAGTATGCAAGAACATTTGGCCCAGAAGTGGAGAAATGTCTAAAATGCAGAAAAGTCAAGATGTCTCTGCCAAAAGAAAGATTCCAATTCATTCATTCATTCAAAAAATTATCTTGAGCAAGTTTGTGTGTGTGTGTTATTCTTTATATCACACTGTGGGCGACCCAAAACCGGTAGCAACATTGTGGGTTGTGGCCTTCATTCTGGGGACCCTAAAACTGGTCCCCTCAGAATATTTTAAGCTTGGCCCATATCAGAGACTAAAATCAGGGTATTTCGCCCTTTGCAGCATAGTTTTTGAGTATTATTTGTCTACTCATAAGTCTTCCAATTTAATGGAAGTACAATCCCATACTGCTGCTCATTTAAGTTGACATCATGGCTGCTATGTAGTTTTCACCAAGGCTGGAATACCAACCAAAGCGGGCAACTGCCCAGGGGCACCAAAAGCCCCAGACTCTATCAATATGATTTCTATAAGATCTGAACTACTTTCGTTTATATTGTGCTGGAGTTTATAGCAGCTGAAGAGTTAGAAAAAGAGAGTGAATATTGGATTTTACATTCAGAAACACAACTCCGATGAATGAATCTCTGTTACTCTGTGTCTACCAGATGTTTACAGGCTATAGGCAACTGTTTGTCAACATGTTTATTATGACAGCTTCCTATAGTGATAAATTCAGTGAGCTTGTTGTGCTGCAAAAAAACATGTGGTTAAACAAAGTGAAGTATCATATGTTTCTTTCTTCAGAATGGGTGAGTCTGTCATGATCTGTTACTCAAACTGAGATACCTAGAAAAACTCAAGCAGCAAATGAACTGTGAAATGGAGAATGACCATTGAGACAAATAAATAAAATCAAATAAATACAGCGTTATTAACACAAAGCATTAATCTGGTGATGCATCTCGCGTCACTACTATTTCCATTCAACGTCTCATCCATCCATCCATCCATCCATCCATCCATCCATCCATCCATCCATCCATCCATCCATCCATCCATCCGGGGGACTGTATATGACTCTATAGGCTTTTCCCGAGGGAGACCACTGGATGAATGCCAAAAGGGGGCGTTTGTATCATGCAGCCGGAGGGGCGGGACCAGAGGTGGGTGTGTGTCTCTCAGCTGATGCGCGTATCAACCGACCGACTCCATCATCAGCATCCGACGCTGACAGCGGTCGAAGACAGCATCCCTAATATTACCGACCCTCGGTAACATCGCAGGATAATTCAGAGCCCGGCCGACCAGGACTGACGTTGCTGTCTTGTGACAATATTGTTTACTGAAGCTGCCATCTTACAAACCGCCGAGCTGCAAAATAGTGAGTAGCCTTTGATGATGGATCGCCAGGATGCTACAATCGGTAAATCAAAGCTACTGCATGATTCGTCGTCAATGTCAATGACGCTGTGCATTTTAATTTAGCTTTATTTATTTCTTATTCAGTGAGGGTCGTGCGTTTGTTTTGTTTTTTTGTTTTTTTTGTTCTTTTTTTCTTCTTCTTCTTCTTTTTGTCTCAGGCCTAGCGAGTAATTGTTTGGGAGCGCAGTCGATTCAGGGCTTGATGCGGATGCTGCTAAAGCCGCCCTTGCCGCCCAGGGATGCAGAGAAAAAGGGAGAGAGAGGGAGTCGTGAGGGGAGGGAAATGAGGCAGAGCAGTAGATAGATAGGCAGTGTATTTTACTACTACTACTATTCACCCGAGTGGAAGTAAACCTCTAGTAAATGGGCTGAGAAGGGGAGGTGCAATGGCATGACTGCGTAGTCTATCTATCTATCTATCTATCTATCTATCTATCTATCTATCTATCTATCTATCTATAACATCTATATCTGTAACATTTTGATGATGTGTATGTTCACGTGTGAGCAAGCTCTTAAATACTTAACGTTGTAATTCAGTGTTATAGCCATGTAAACATCATAGCCTAGATATCTATTTTTGCAACCACACATGCTTCTTATTCTCGCACATACATATGTACGTGTGTGTGTGTGTGTGTGTGTGTGTGTGTGTGTGTGTGTGTGTGTGTGTGTGTGTGTGTAGCAAGTCAGCAGAGTTGCCACTTTATTAGGAACACCTAAATAAAACTAATGTGGTCAGTTCTGACAGTGAGTGGTTCAGGTGGAGATGTAGCGGTTATATAGTCAGCATCCTAAACCTCTAGACCAGTGGTTCTCAAAGTGGGGTCCCCCAGGGGTCCTTGAGGGGGTTCCTGGGGGTCCCCAGCAAAAAGGGGAGTAATTTATAATCACTATAATTCAGACCATAAGTAACACAATGACAGACTGCAGTTTATTAGGTACACCAAGCTAAAGATGAAACTATTTTTGAAAAGTGTTGATTCAACTTTTTGGAGCGTGTTTTGTTATGGTGCTGTTGAATTGTATTCCTTTATCCTGGGAGGTGGTTCTAATATTTTGTCCATACTGTAATTACAAACAATAAGGGTAGCCTAAATATTACAACTATTCTGTATAACCAGGGTCAGATAAACCTGCTAGGGGGCTGTGGGAGAAAATGAGCTGTGGGCCCCTATTGAGCCCACAGTGCCCCAGAAACCAACCAGTATATCTCAACTGTCAGTTAGCCTGTGATTATTTGATTAAACACAGATTTACTTGTGCATGTGCTCCAGGGAACATAATAAAAACTGAGAGTATAGTAAATAGTAAAGATGCTGTAGTAGATTTTGATATAGGGTCCCTGTGTAGGAAAGAACCTCTAATGCAAGAACCATTAGGCATTTACCATTTCAGTTTTTATTGT